AATAATCTATCGAGAGAAACGTGTCTTAGCATCTTAAAATAGAAATCACTTCCCACGTTGGGATTATGTTGAGAAGCTTTTCACCAGTACCTGGTCATCCATGCTGTTGACCCCATCTGCTCCGAGCAGATCAATGGCCTGACCAATCAGGTCTGTGCGTCCACAGTTGAGCATCCGGAAACCCAAATCTAGATTGAACTTCTCAATGGCAGCTTTTGAGTCTAGACGCTTAAAAGAGCTGAAGCAGCACTCGGGCCTGAAATAGAGCAAACAACACTTAGTATCTAAGAAGTAGGCCTATTTGTTTTCACTTGCAGCACCACTGAACTAATTCAAATCATGTTTAATGCTTTTTTCTCTTATTTGAACATTTCCATGTTAAGCAAAATGAAAAGTTATTAATCTGCAGAAGCCTAGAATATATTTAGATGAAAGCAGAGTGTGTTGTTTACTTCAGTTGTCTTGGTTCACAGTCGAGGCCTGGAAGGAGAAGCCTGGCGGTCTGTCTCACATCGTCGCTGTCCACCAACGGGCTCTTCCGGTGCTCTGCGTGAACTATGGCCACTCTCATCCACTCCATCAGAGGTGGAAGCAACAGGAAAGGCCTACATGAGAAAACGGCACGATTCATTTTATGATTTGTGCAATTAAAGCCAGAATCAGCACCTGCAGCATGATGAAGTTGTGTAACAAATAAATGATTCATCGAGCACAACAGCCATGTTAAAAACCATTTTTCCTTAATGCCAACATATGATTCAAAATAAATACTGGAATTGTAAGTGTGACATTTTTCTGTTTCTTCGCTTCTTTTCTTCTGATTCCTTTCAGAAACCACCGGAGATGTGGCCACAGAGGGGCCACGTCTAGCCAGTTATATGGTATTAATCCCTTTTGTCTTCATCCTGCTCCTGACATCTATGCCTGCGGTGAATAGCACATCACTATTTGCTTTTGATCCTCTGAAAGCCTCCGTCAGAGGGTGTAAATGATTGTTTAAACACCACCACTGTGTTATCTGGAGTTATTAAGCCACTTTTCTCCTGCTGTGATGGGATTCTTATCAGCGAGGGTGCCTCTTTTCTGGTGCATATCATGAATATAAATAATGGAGACAGGATGGCCAGAATACACACCGTTGTAGGGTGGGAAAGCAGAAAGGTGTAATAAGAATTGATGGATCTGCAATGTTTTTCCATCCAAGCAGCTATGGGAACCAATCTCTTTCTTATTGCTATAAATAGTCTAACCTTTGATAATTGTTTTCTTGACATGTATTTTTGGTATGTGCAAAAAGTCTGCTGTCAAGTGTCTTCTCTTAGATGTTCTATCAGACGTTGCTTTGGAGCTTTTATCAGCTACTGATCAGAGTTGGAGGGAGGGGTCTAGCTGTCAGCCAGGCGTGACATTTAACAAGCAGACAAGGAGCTGATGAGCAGGAGGAGGGGGGGACGGTGAAAAGTGGCTGATGGGCGATTATAATTAAATGTTTGGGAAGCATCTAGAAAACAGGTGGGGCATGTTGAGAGGAGGAAGGGGGTTGGGTGTGTTTAGCTGCTGTAGGCGTGAGGATCAATGTTTATTCCTCTCCTAATGAGCTCCACTCAACACATTGAATGTGTGTATTCACTCCCTTTTTCACCTTTTGTGTCCTTTCCTTGTTTAATGAAACAAGACATGTATCCCATGTTTTACTGCAAACACACCAACGATTACCCCAAACAGAGTCATACTGGTGACTTCACAACGAAATACTCATATAATGGAGTTTGCAAAGTGGTCCAGTTCTCCCGGCAGCCATAACTTTCAGCATAAAGTCAATCCCCCTCATAAACACGTAAAATCACAATCTATGCTAAACAAAGTCCAATAAAATATTACTGTGACTCCTTTCAACTGGTGTACATTTGCAGCAGATGCAGTTTCTCATCCGTTTTAAGTCCCTCCGCCCATGTTCCCTCTTTCATTACGCCCTCCATCTGACCTCCGAGTCTGGGTTATGGCCCTCAGCCTGAAACAAAACCTTGGCTCCGTCAGAGAGAAGGTACAACATCAAAGCTTTGACCCCAGCTAACAATGAAACTAGATAGCGTCTATGGCTAGCCCACTGACCTGACATGCTGAGAACAGCAGTTTGTGGACACATGCACAAACTCTCCCACATGTGTACATACGAACATTAGTTTTGATTCATGGTTTTTTGCTTGCCCTACAGGCAGTAAACGGACAGTCAAGTGTGCTTGAACTCTAACATGAAATCAAAGACTTTCCCCCAGATTTACTCCATCTGTTTGGTAAGTGTGTCGCTGCAGCCACAGTGTGAGAAACTTCAATAAGACGCTACTAAAACAAGATGGTATAAATACGTTTGGTGCATCTATGCTTGAAGGTAAGCACAATCTTTTGAAATCAGAGTTAAGGAAGATACAATTTGACCACTGAATGATTGTGGCTCCCATCCTGAACTTTAAAAGCAGAACTGGAGTAGAACCTGTTTTTCCCCACTTAAGGACAGTAAAAGGATTTTTTTAAAGACCCTGTACACATACCACCCAACACCCATACCACAAAATGAAGATGTGGTTACTAGGGATGTAAGAAAATATCGACATGGCAATATTACATTGATATTCAAAAGCCGTGTATCCATGGACGTAATTTTTTGGGGGGACAGGGGGGACATGTCCCCCCCCCCCCCCCACGTTTTCCAAAGTCAAGTTTGGACCCCTGCACTTTTTACCATCCAAAAACAATATTACGCTATATTAAATTGACACTGGTTGAGCTCTAGGACCAAGCAGAAAACAACCGTTTGTGTTGAAGCCTGTTTCCCATTAGAACATACTGTAAAGAAATTACATCCATGCGTGTATCTAATTTTTGGAAGGATTTACATGCAAACATTTGTGTTATTTCTTTTGGTGCAGTTTAAGCGCCGACCGCTAGTTAGCAGCAATGTGAGTTTTGTTTGCGCCATTGAATTGTAAATCCCTCTATTATGGTTCAGATACCTCATGTTAAACATGTTAAGTGCCAGTTTGGACTGTTTATTGAATATTCCTACAATAAATTATGTGTAAAAAATCTCTAATACCGTCTGACTGAACGTGTCGCAATATATCGTGATATATTGTATCGTCTCCCCCGTATCGTGATACGTATCGTATCACCATAATTTCACCAATACACATACCTAGTGGTTACAGTTCGACCTGTCATTCGCACAAAAGTGGATGTACACAACGACAAAAGTTTCTTTTGAAAACTCAAACAAAAATGAAGATATGTGATTTATCTGTTGCTTGCAGATGTAAATTACTGAGGTTTTAGGTTTTACAATATCAAAACCTTTACAGTGAGAGTAAACACGTGTTTACTCTCACTGACTGCTCTATGTTGAAGACCACAGGCAAAGGACCATTATTGCTCACCACCTATTTCACATCCAAGGAATTAGGGCTGGGCCATATGGCGCAAATATATATTGCAATACAATCTGAAGCAGGTGCGGTAACGATATATATTGCAATATATTTTTTCTTCTGTTTATATATGTCAAAATAACCTGCTTTTAAATTCCTCATGTGGCAAATATAAGCCACTTGAGGCATAACGGCCCCAATTCTGTTGCCCCAGTGTCAGCAGGGTGCACATCTTAGTGACGTCGTGCGATATCGCGGTATTGCGATATAGCCAAAAACTCTATCATTACCCAATTTTATATCGTTTCTACCTTATATCGTTTATATTGCTCACCCCTACAGGGAATGTTTTTTTTTATCAAAGACACAGGCGATTTGTAAACAACTGCGCCCTACAGGCTTGGCATGTCTATGAATTCTCTTCACGAGACACTGGGAATTTTGCTCAAAACAAGGAGGTGTGGACCCAAGTTTCTTAGATGATATTTGGTTAAGCTCAAATCTGGCTGCATGGCCTAAGTTTCAGTCTCTGAGTCAAACACCCGGTCTACTTTTTCCGAAAACTTCCTTTCTGATCAATCCAAAAGTATTGGTTATCCTGGTTCATTCCTTTAGTAACGGTACTATAAGCAAACCCCAGCCAGGTGAGACAGACCCATGAAGGTTTCTTCCTGTTAAAAGGGAGTCACTCCTCTCTGTAAACCATTGTATGCTTACTGGGGTTTGCATTGAAGCAAAGACTGGAATGAAGCCGGTTATTTCCTTAGATAGGATGATGTTTTTCTAAGTTTTAACCTACTAAATCCCATGTTACAACTAGATTGGCTGATACCATTAGTTTTAAATCAGAACCTGTTCTGATATGAATTGTTGTCATAAAATTGGGGCGATACAAATAAACTTAACTGAGCCATTCAGCATATATTAAAGACGAGAGGAGATGGGGCTTTTTCTGTGGCCGGTCCTACACTCTGGAACAGTCTTCCTCTGCAGATCAGGACCTCACAAGTCTGGATGTCTTTAAGTCCTTGCTTAAAACGCATTTATTCAACCTGGCTTTTATGTAGGATGATTTTATTTTGTCATTATCTTTCTTTCTCATTTTAATTGATTATATAATTGTCTGATGTAATGCTGTTTTTATCCTAACTTGCTGATTTTTATGGTTTTATGGTTTTTAGTTATACTTGTTTGCGATTTTATCATCTGTGTTGTACAGCACTTTGGGTTGCGGAAGCAATAATAAGTGTGCTTTGGAAATAAATGTGACCTTGACCTATTACTTTCTACATGTCACAGACATAAGTGCCAATGCTCCAATAAAGTCTACAAAATCCTTGCTTTCAGCTTTATAAAGGATCGAAGAGCTTTTAGCTAGACGATTCAGCAAAAGGCTCTGTATTAGAAAATATAGCCCACACAGATTTAGCGGTTTTGTGTTTCTACCAAATGTTTCATAGCACTTTCAAAAGAGTGTGGGTCAAAGAGTGTGAGAGGCCCACTGTAATCTATTCCAGGTTCTACCTACCACCTGAGATGGCCCTGAAAAATTCATAGACACTTTCCAATCACACAAGGAAGGATATAGCTAAACGTGGAGACAAACTGGTGTCTGGCAGATGTCTTCAAAGGAAAGCTTAGAGGTTTAAAGGTATGTCAAGAAGGTAAATGTTTTCATGTGGGGTGCATAAACCAAAGCTGATGCTTACGGAGCACATCTGAAGACTTCGAAGAAACAGCCATGATAGGAAAGCATAGGAGGGAGTCTTTACTGTTCTGTTCTCTTTGATGCCAACGAGAAGCTCACCTTTACTGTGTCTGTTCACAATTAGATCCATCAGAACCAGCTGGTGCTGGCCACAGCCACACACACCTCTACATATAGGACGGCTTGGCAGGCTAAGGCAAAACACAAACTATAAATGACTGCGACTTCAACTGCTCACACTTAGATGGGACTTCCATGCCATCTATATATATCAGTTTAAAAGAAGCAGGTAATCTTCACACGCAAAAGCAACTTCATGTACTGTAGCGAGACACTGAAGTGTTTTCTGGCCCTAGAACAGAAACATGGGCCGGCTGGTAAAACACACAATTACAGGTAAGAATCTGAGCTGTGAGCACATAATCTATTAAATCCAGCTTAACTACTTTATGTTGCTCTGAGCAATTATCTTGAGCAATATCTGAAGAAATATAAAGCTGGTCAATTCTTTTTCCGCCTGGTTTTCTAAGGAAATTGTGCAGCAGGATGCTTTAAAGCAGGGGTCCTCAATTATAATGGTCCGAGGGCCGCACACAAAAAAGATTTGCCAAATAGGAAGAAACCATCAGATGGTCAGTAAACGCTCATCACTGATTTGTATTCAGACTGACATTCTCACCTTTCTCATGATTCAGAAATTTTTGCTCAAACAAGACCACTTAAAGCTTGGTTATGCTTGACGTGTCCGCGAGGTTCGCACGGCTCCGCACGGCAAAATTGCATCATTTTAACAACCACGCCCCTCCACCGCGCTTCCGCACGGCCCAAACTTTCCGCACCGCGCACCTAGGAAATGTTCTAACCACGCGGACGGTTGGACGCGGAAAAACATGGCGGACTGGCAAGAACTAATATGGCAGAGGTTCGTAAATACAGACATTTATATGGTTCAGCTCTCAAAGATCACCGTGATCAACATGTTAATAATTCTTGGAGAGAAATAGCTCGCACTGTCGGAAAAGACGAGAACGCTGTTAAAAAATGCTGGAATGCCATGTTGTAAACAGTAATTTTTACTTCTACTATGGTGTAGTGTTGGATGCATGCCTAGAGCTCCATGCTGCCCCCTACAGTTTGGGAGAATATTAGCTCACCGCAGAGACAAGCCGCATGAACCATAAACGCTGCAAGTTGTGAAGTGCGTTCCATCCGCGAGCCGCATCACCAAGCGGAAAGTAAATGCGTCAAGCATAAAGGGTCTCCAAACAAAATTACAGGGTAACCTCCAGGTGTCTGCCTAATACACTCCTTAAGGTGCTTTAAACTCTTTCACAGGACCAGCCTCAACACCTGGAGCTTTTGTTTGCTTGTAATTACCGTGAAGAAATTAACGCTTGAATGACAAAAGAGCAATGCAATTAGGAGGAGAAGGGAACAACACGGTGTCTTCAGAGAAAGGCGTTACTTTCATAGATCGAGGTTTTTGTGTATGAAATCTTTTTTTTTTATCAACTCAACCCCAATTAAAGTTAAAATCAAGATGCCAGAATAAATTTTTGTAGCCAATTAAAACATCAAAAAGGGGAAGCGATCTGAGATTAAATCTTGTTTCACTGCTTATGACACACTATTATGTTAACTGTATGTTAACTGCTTAGTCCAGTCACCCGTGAGTCCTACCTCTCTTTGCTTAGAGCCATGCGTGGAGGATCTAAGTTGGGATTCTCCATGGACTCCATTTGTGGGCAGCGCAGGAAGTAGTAAAGGGTGTGGAGGGCGTCAGGCGACCAGGACACAGGCTGCTGGGGCCGGGCGTGACGGGCGGGACTCAATCCTGGACGAGCAGAGCTCAGGCGCTGCATGTGGTGCATGGCGCGGGACACCAAGTCACCTGGAACAAGGCAATTACGGGAATAAAACGGTCATTAGATGGACGTGTATGCATCATTCCCACACTGAATCAATGTTGGCAACAGCAGAAAAACATTGTGTTGAATAAATGTGTGTTCAGTCTACCAACAGGATTCTCTTTTTTCTTTTTATGCTTTAGTCCACGTCTGCAGTGGTATCCCTACAATCACCATCATCACAATTATCACTGAAGGGGTTAACGGGATAAAGAGCAGCACAATTTGGTCACTGCAGTGGCTGTCCCACTGTAAAGGCAGCTTAGTCACGTGAAAGCTTAGGCCTCATCTCGTCTGCTGTTTGCGCAAAAAAACTTTGACAAGAAATCTGTCATCTGAACTCGCTGGGAAGCAGCAGGCGTAGGAAAAGCTCGTTTAGAGTACTGTTGGAAAAGTAAATCTATTACCAAAAAAATTAAATAAATAAGCGAGAGAGTAAAGCTTGTAGATCCTGGTGGGAGGCCACAGCTGCAATATAAACGTCCATCAGTGTTGGGAAAGAGGAAGAGGAGGAGCATGAAGAGTGGTGCTTGAGCTGAACTTGGGATCAAATGACGCTCATTAAGTATAATTACTCCAGGGTTAATATTTAGCCAGATTACTACAAAACAGCACAGCGTTTCAGTCTGAAGAGTTCAGAAGTGTGTGTGTGTGTGTGTAAACAATGAAAGGTAATTCTGGGTACTTGAGATTGGGCTAGCCCGACCAGAGCAGACCCCACTTAGAGCTGAAGGGCTTCCTTTGTGTTAACCAGCACCAAATGTCCCTCCAGGAGGTCTCCTAGGAATTCCTACCCAGGATGGACCCTTCTCCCTGGTTTTCCAGTTTATATTGAACCCTGGAGCTAAACTGAGCTCTAGAGGTCAGAAGCTTATGAAAAACTTCTTAGATTACAGATTATATTTGACTTTCTCTGGAAACAATGAAGTCAACAAATTCCTTTATGAAAACTTTTTTATAAACATTCAAGGATTTAAATAAAAAATAAAAACGGCAGTCTGAAAGTTACAAAGTCATCTCATTTTCATGGCTTTTCTTAGAAAATTAATAACGTCAAAAAAGCAAATATTGATATATTCTCAAATTAGAATATGGTTTTGAGACATTTAGTTGAAATTCTAATAATCCCACCATTTATTATGGTATGTTTGTGTTTTTGGCCACATCCAGCACAGAAATCCAATTCACCATAGATGCTTCTGTGTCCGCCTGGTCTCCTGGGCTCAGATCAGTCCCAAACGTGTGTACGTGTGTGTGTGTGTGTGTGTGTGTGTGTGTTGGGTCTGGATGCCAGCACTGCAAAGATTAACCCTGTTTCACCTCACCAGAGTGATGTGGCACAAAGAGACCACTGAGCGTATGTGAGAGAAAGAGTGTGTTTGTACGTCCTTAACGCCTCACCAGCAGCGGCGTCACATGAAGGTGGCCTTGTGCTGGAGGAACAAATGACAGAGTGTTGGCTCATTTGGAGGAGGAAACCTATCCAGACTCTGACCAGAACTAACCTCCATCTACACCTTCCCACCACCCAAACAACTTCACCTCTCAACCCCCTGAACCCTAAACACAGCTAAAGCATAATCGTGAGCTTTAACGCTAAATATCCATCTCTTCTTCTCACTTTTCAACCTGACTTTAGCAAACAGAGTAAATCGGATCATTTTTCCCCATTCATCTTCCTTGCTGGATGTGCCAGACAAAAGTGGATCTTGTACAAGCATAGTCAGCTATTACTTAACTCAAGCGCCTCATGTGCAAATTATAATTTCTAATGCCGTCTTTAAAATATTGAGCAACTGATGCATAACCTTTATTGCATCAGTTGCACAATTGTTGCACAGAGTGAGCCTCAAAGAAGAATGCAATGGAAAACATTAAATTCAGATATGAGATTGTTCTGTTGTCACTGCACAACGAAATTGACTTTGTGCTCACTAAATGGTAAATGGCCTGTATTTGATACATCGCCTTCTTGAGTCATGAACCCCTCAAGGCGCTTTACAACACAGTCATTCACCCATTCACACACTGGTGGGGATGAGCTACGATGTAGCCACAGCTGCCCTGGGGCGCACTGACAGCAGGCAATGTGGGTTAAGTGTCTTGCCCAAGGACACAACGACAGTGACAGACTGAGCGGGTCTCGAACCTACAACTTTCCGATAACGGGTCGAGCACTTAATTCATGTGCCACCGTCGCCCCACTAAGAAGTAAGGAGGTGGTGTAAGTAAGCTCAAATCACACACACACACACACACACACACACACACACACACACACACACACACACACACACACACACACACACACATTCTTGTATTTGTACCCATGTTAGGACTTTGTATTGACTTTGTTATGCTGGAGCCTTTTTGTGTTGTGTTTTCATTTTCTGTGCATTTTTGTGTTCTCATTGATACTGCATCTGAGGAGCATGCCTGCAGACTAAGGCCTGTTTGCTATCCCTTGCTCCTCCCTGCACCAGCTGAGCCAGGTTTTCATCAGCCATTGATTGCTTAAAGGACCTGCTGGAGCTCCTCACCAATGGGGACAATAGTGCAGAGCTGCCTTTCCTCTGGTCTGTTGTCCCCAACTTACCCCCAAATTCCACTACCTCCGCTCCGACACGAACTCCGCAGCAAAATCGGTCCCGTTGTAGTCAATCAGAGCAATTCCACTACTGCGGCCGTGCGCCGCCCTCTGTTCCGGCAAAAATAGGATCGATTCTATTTTTGCCGGACGCGGAACACCTCCGCAGTCAATGGACAGGAATCACAACCGCCCAACAGGAAAGGGAGCAAGCACAGCTTCCGTTATTTCACAATAAATCGATAAACAAAAAGCGTTTTTTGTTTCATATGCACAGGTTTAACAACTTTTAACAACTATCAATGGTGGCTGAACTTTAAATGCACAAAAGTAAGCCATAAATACAGTTTCTACTATCAAAGTAGTCACACTTTGTTGATCCAAACACTGCTGATCTCTCAACACAAATGATGGGCAGATTAAAAAGTTCATTTCGATGCTTCTCCCACACAACGGGTGTTTGGATATGACTTCCGCGTTTATTGCTCTGACTGTATCGCAAGATCTCGAAAATCCCGCGCATGCTTGTTCGCCCACCTCAGGTCTCCGCACCAGAGCGGAGCCGTTGTAGAGCGGGTACCAGTAAAAATTGAGTTCGGAAGCGAGCGGCTGCGGAAGGCGGGGGCGGAGCGGAGGTAGTGGAATTTGGGGGTTAGGGCTTTGATATTGATTAGCAAAAAGAAATAAGCTTTAGGGGTAATCTGTTACCTTTTTGAGATTTGCTATGTTACATTTTAGTGTTTGAGCCTGTTTTGGCTAAATGGGTTGTTCCATGGTGGTTTCTTTTCTAGAGTAAGAAAAAAAAGGAGAAAAGTAAATAAAACCTTTGTTAATTTTCCTTTGTGTCATGCGTCCTCCATGTTACCCCAAGCCCCCTAGACACCTGGGTTGTAACAGACTTCCATTCATTTTAATGAGTCCACTATACCTAACCCAAACCCTAACCAGTGTATTCCTAAAGTTATCTGCAACAAAAACTCAATTCACATCTCATCTGTAAACCTCACTCCTAGGGAGTACTCCGTATTAGGACCGGGTTTTGGTCCCAACAAGGACCATCGGCCCTAAGAAGGTTAGTAAATATCCCATATCCGGTCTTCACAAGGGTACAAATACAAGAAAGAAAGTTAAAGACCCATTAGTCATCATCCCACGCTGGTTACATCTCTGCCTTTGACCCAGTCCCGTGGGGAGCGGTGAACACCCCCGATCCAATCCCTTAAAGCTGAGTGTGAAGCAGGAAGGCACTGGGACCCATTTTTAAAGTCTTTGGTCTGACCTGATGGGGATTTGAACCCCGATCTCCCAGTCCCAGGGCAGACACTCTACCGCTAAGCCACTGAGGTTAAAAGTGTTTATATTTGTGAAAAATGTTCAACTAAAAATGTTTTGTGATATTAATGCAAGATAAATGTGTTTTATGATATTCATTAAAACACATTTAAAAGAAGACTTAATTTGACTTTAAAAGAAAACTCACTGAGTTCTGAGATGCTGCCGACACAGGTAGCCAGCAGGGACTGTTCTAGTGTCCTCAGCTCCAGCTGGGCGTAAGCGTCCTCCCTGCTGTCCACAGACGTCTGCTGGTTCTCTGTGTAGGGACTGAAATGGGCTGGGAGAGACAAAACGCCTACAAACACAAAAACAGAAAAGAAAAGTCTGTTAGCAAACTCGTAAAAAGATCTCCATAGCATCTGCAACAATATGAAAATATGTTCTTAATGTAATTGTAATCCTAGCACATTGTTAAAGGACAGATAGAAACTCGGGAATGTGAGTTTTGACTGCAAAGCTATCAGGAAAATGAACAGAGTATCTTTTGGAGGCTAAAACAGTCAAAACAAACGCTGAATATTTCACTCACAGATGTCTAAAGAATTTATAACTACTGCAACTGGATAACAGAGAAATTCAAAGAACTACAGCTATGGCTTTAGCATAAGAGTGTAAAACATGTGGTTTATTTAACCATCAAACAGTTCAAGGTCAACTTTACTCATACTTTCAGTACATCAGCAGTGGTTTCTAGTAGGAATGAATGCCCGCAAGTCCTCTGAGGGAAACAAGCTCTGGCACACCTGTTAAAGGACGTGGAAATCAGCTGAATAAAGTATCAGACAACAGGATTTGGAGTATCTCCTGACATTTTGACAGCTCACCTCTGATTGGCTAACAGCAACACTGACGAATTTGCTCTGAAAAGTTGATGTTTTATCCCCACAAATAAAAGTCTGAAAGAGTTCTGTGGTGCGGTAGAGTTGCTAATGCTAACGGTTAGCTTATACAAAACGTGATCTGCTGTTTCCTAGAAGCTAAAACAACCTGCTCCTGATTTTTCTCAGATAATTGTCTTTCATTCGTATTATTTTATTGGATTTAAAGGTGTGGTTCACTCGTTTAATACATTTGCAGTGGACTCTAGTAGGAATGAATGCCTTAAGTTGTTCTCGAGGGGTGAACAAATGCACCACAGGAACTAGTAGTGACCCACATCACAGCTGAGCTTCAGACGGCAGGTTTTGGAGGCTTTTTTCCTGATGTTTGGACATGTTGCATAAGATTGGATGACATCGCAACTCAACTACTGACTTTCAATGTAGATGATTTATCTCCATAAATAAACGCCTGGAGGAGTTCTGCCATGTGGTGGAGTTGCTAATGCTAATGGTTAGCTTGTACTAGAGACATTCTCTGCGGTTTACCCAACCAACAACAACAGCTTTCCCCATCACGAGCCAGGATGGGTGAGTCCATGAATGTTAAGTGAAAGTGTGACGTAGATCTATCAGGCTTTTCAAAACCTAGAGTTTCACCATCTATTTTCTATCAGACGTTAATGCAGGAGATAGGTGTAGGAGACTATTTTCATGTTCAGCCTACATGAAAAACTAAAAGTGACTGATTATAATCAGAATAATCATTAAAAAATGTTTTTTCAGTGAAGTTGAATAATAAAACAACTAAAAAGAAGGGAACTATTAAAACCTAGATTATGTTGGTTTTCCTCAAGATAAAAATCTGGATATTCAAACCTGCTCAAATCGCAGCAGTACAGCTCAGGTGTATTAGTAATTAGGACAAAAATAAAATTTTAAAGATCAGCTAAAAATAAAACTTTACAACTGAGCGCTACATTATACTTTACGTGACACTCTGCTAACAGTTGGCTCTCCCAAGACAAGATAAGATCTTTACATAACTGGAAGATGGGCTCTTGTACTTTCCCTGCTGTAATTGCTGTTTTCCAGCTTGATTTGATAAAACTGGAAAAAGAAAATGAGAACACAAAGTCCTGTTTCCTGCTGGTTAGTATATCTGTGCTGGTTGTTGGCTAACACCCTCATTAGCTCAGTGTTTTCAGGAACCAGGGTTTTGTCAACTATAATCTGTGTGTGCACAACGAGCTGACTAAAGCATAACTTTTATTTTGGCTTCAGAATCAGAGGAGTACTTTTTGCCAAACCAGAGGAAATGAGTGGGACTGGCGGAGGATGGGAAAGTTGATCTGTGTAGATTTGGCATTTATGTTTAAAGCCCAAAGAAAAATAGCTGGATCGTCGTAAACCTCCACTAACTTCTCTAAAACGATATTTCCATGAGGTTCTGGTCAGTGGTCTGATCTCACCAAAGCAGAGATAGAATCACAGGTTTGAAGGTGAATCAAGCTGACAAAGCAAGGACAGCAGAAGTCATCTATAGATTGCTACAAGATTAGCCTGGACTGCCAGACTCATCCTCCGTTTCTACACAGAGAACCAATGCTTCCCATAAGGAGGGCTGGCTGGTCAGGCTGCTACAATATTTGGTTGCATAAAAGACCCATTCATAGGGGGCGCTGGGGCGCCGCCCCATCAGTCTCACAGGATGAGGAAGAACAAGATGATAGGAATCACAAAATATTTTTAAAACACCTTGAAAATTAAACTAAACAATCTATACATCATACAGACTTTTAACTGGATTTAAGTGTAGTTTAAAATGTTCTTTCGCTCTGATGACCGAACGGTCGTGTGATGTATTTCCTGTTCTTTTGGGGTGCAAAAACTTTACCATAGACCTACGCTATAACTGGTGCACGCGTGCCGGATCCCCCTCCAATTCAAAACATTGGAGAGCCTTCGGACACAGAACTTTGCGCCTGATGCATGCACAGACGACCTAAGTCTCATCTCAGATCAGGATGTTGAACCAGAAGCTGTCCACCGTCCACCATTTACCCCGAACAGAAGACGCCTGGTTGGCTGGCTGTGCTAACACCAGTGCTTTTTGGGGGGGTTTCCTGCCTCCTCTTTGAGCTGCGTGGCACAGATCAAGCCTGGATTCAGACAGGTATTTTAACTGTAACCAAAAACACATTGTATTTTTGCTAAGACTCATAATATATTCATTTCCCAACAAAGCAGGATCAGGGAAGTTACTGGAAGAGGACATTTCCGAGCTCCAAGTAGGAAAAATCAAGGGTAATTCTCTCCTCCACTCTCAGACCTTCTCTGCACCGTCAAACTCATAATGCTCGTTTCACCCGCTGCCGGAATAAAGCGTGAGCATGCTATTCCCACACAAAAACAACACATGAACTCGCTAATAAAGCATGCCGTTTTCTGTCACTTCAGGTATTTTTAGAAACCACAAGGGCTTAGATTCCTACGGAGTGTTAATCATTTTCTAACAAGACGCCGAGAGCAACTAAACTAGGGCGAGACATCTCCAAAGGGCTTGCGTTTTTCTTTTTTTTCCTCACCACTATTCTTTTTTCAATTATTCTCTGAAGTTTTAGGGAACACAATTTCTTGGGAAGTTTGCTTAGAGAAGGACATATTTATGCTCAACTCTCACTTTACTGTGTTTTTTGTCTTCTGGCTCTGTTAACTCTGCTAAATTACTTTACTGTCTACTGATCATCCATCTTTATGGCTACCATTATGGCCTCTCTGTCACTGTATTCAGTGTTTCACATGATGGGAACAGCTCGTTTAGATCTATCTCATGTCAGAGAAACTGCAGCTCTTTGAAGAATAAAAATCCATTTGAATAAATTCTCAAAATGACGGGTTAAAAAAAGAACAATGCATCATTTGAAATGGTGTTCTAACAGAGAGGGCAGCCACGATGTTATTCTAGTCTTCCAAGTTTACCTATAGACACAAAGACCATTTAAAAGTTTTGAACTGTCCCCATAGGACTATTTAATCTAATGTAAAGCAGCAGTGTGCAACAGCTGAGGACTCTTTCATTCATTCAGCTGTAAAAACACACAGAACATAAAAAAAAATGTTTCTGATTTTGCAATATGTTTTCTAAGCTGTGGTAAATACTCAAACACCACTCAGTATTTCCCACAGCCCCGCCCCTTTGCTCGCCTCACCGCGTAACCCCAGCCTGCGTCATTTGAGGCCTGTCCCCATCACCATACGATCCCAGCAGCTCCAGCTCCCTGTCCATCTTTAGTTCTGTTTAATGCTAGAGGCGACGACGAGGGAACACAGCTTCACTTTAAACTGAATCCAACTAACGAAGAACTGGAGAGGAATGTTAAAGACGGAGGGGAGTACGCGAGAGGAAGACAAGTGACAGGAGGGATTTATTCTTCTGTGGCCATCGTGGTTCCATTTCTGAGGCTGACCCAGCACATGTCATGTGGGAATCTTGGCTGCAAATCACAGCTGAAACTTACCACAAAGCCTGTGGCAGTTCCCAGTCCACCCACCCCCCCGAAGCCATTAGAGCTCCTCCAGACTCAGCCAGGCTATCGCTCACACTGTTGTCCACCGTGCTATCTGGGAAGGTTCAAAAATTCCAACCGCATGTCTATACAACAGGACCATCTGCATGCATGCCCTTTGCAAATAATGTGAACTTCCACTCCTGCAAAGAGCTAAGCTCTTATGTTGATCTTTGGAATGTTAGTGCTAATGAAGATGGCAGAAAAACTGTAAAACACACTGGCAGCATATGCACCTCCATCATTTTCAGATACCTCCACAAACCCTGCGGTGAGGTGCACAGCAGCCCTTTCACTAATTCCAATTCTAAGCAACAATAACTTCTTAGCAGTGGCGTGTCAAGATCTTTTAAAATGGGGTGGTCCAGGTGAGGCACAGCTTTGTGCATGGGTGGCACCAATGGTTATGCTTTTTTTTTTTTTTTTTTTTTACCCCCAAGCCTTTTGTGGCCAATGAAAAGCCCATTTAAAGGTAAATTAGTGTGGTGGCACCTGGGGTGGCCAATTAGATTCCAAGGGTGGCATGTGCTACCCCAGGCCACCCCCTGGACACGCCCCTGCTTCTCAGACATCCATGTTTCCATAACAACTCTTCTGCATGTCTTATTATTATAGCTTTGTCTGCCCATGTTGTCGATGTACATTTATTTAGTGAGTCACAGCAAATGGCTAATCTGAGCCATGTTCTGTTAGAAGAGAGTTTTCCTCTCCACTGTGGCTACATGCTTGCTTAAAGTAAGGACTGACTAACCCTTACCCTTTTAACTAACTGGCATGATGAACTCAACTCAATTGAAATATTTTACTTTGTGAAGTGACTTGAGACAACTCGTGATTTGGCGCTATATAAATAAACTAAACTGGATGGTTTTTGTTGTTATTTAAACAAAATGTATACAGATGTTTGA